TCCTATCTAGTAATAGACAAACATGGTAATTGACCATACCTTCGCTACACCTTCCATTGGCTAATAAGCACAATATACAAATTAACCAACAAAAGAGGGCAGCTAATTTGCATATTGCAGGCAGGATGGTACAGCGCCATCGGAGAGCAGGTTGGGGGCGTGAGTGCTGGCGGTTCCCTGGGACCCGATCCTGCTGGCAGACCCGGACTCTGCAGCGTCCGCCCGCACTCACGCTGCCAACCCGCAAGAGCGGGTTGGGGCATGACTGCAGGCGGACGCCCCTACCCGCTTTCGGAAGGGAAGACTGAAGGCTCCCTCCAGAGCGAAGGCCTGGGTCCGGGTGCCGGAGGAAAACCGGTGCTGGCAGCCAGGGGAAGGAAGGCCTATTGCATGAATCTCTTTGTGAAACGGGCCTCTGGTTAAGAATATATAACAACTAGATATACGGTTTCACATTTCATTTCTTTTAACTGAAGCAAGTAACATGTTAAATGGAATTATTCAGCTTCCATTTTTAAATTTTACATTATATCTTTTTTCTTTTTTATGGAATTTATGGGGGTGATATTGGTTAATAAAATTACATAGGTTTCAGGTGTACAATCCTATAATACATAATCTTTATATTGTATTGTATTTTCACCACCCAAAGTGATGTCTCCATCACCATTTATCCCCCCTGGTTATCACCATGCTGTTGTCTGTGTCTATGGAGTGCTGTCTTCAGGGAGTGCTGGTATCTTTTCAGGATTAACAAAGAAAAACTACTGTACACAGCAAGGGAAGAGTGAAAGAGGACTCATCACAACTTGTTCCAACATAGGCTCCAACATTTCAATTTCAACTGAGTCCAACAGCAGTTTGCCTCTGAGTGTTGTACAAAAGAGCAAGTGATTAAGCTGTAGATTAATGAATTTTTCACTCTGAAACAGATGTTGCAATTCAGTCACCTCTCCATTACCAAACTAAAACTAGTGGCAGAGTTGATGATCCAAAAGAGCACATAATTCAAAAATCACTTATATTTGGCTTTAGGATATTTATTTTTTACTTACCATATCTAACTAAATTTAAGATGCTTTTATATCTTAACATATCTGAAATTGGAATAAGTATAACTGGCAGCACTTTTTATTAGAGATAATGTGTCTTAGATTTCATGAGATATAGATGTTTGATTATAAACAGATCTGAAGTACAAAAAAGCATTTAAAATACTTTAGCTAAATGTTGAAGACACGACTTATAAAAAACTAGTAAGTGAACTGCTTCTCCACCTTGACATGATCTCAGAACTACATTCCATCTTTGATCATCTGTAGCTCTTTGGTTATACTAAGGGGAGATACTACTCATATCACTGTACTTCTATATGTTTCCATCCTTTCAAGTAGAATATAAGTCCTTTGATAGAATTATAATTATTTTTGCATCCTGTATTACAACCAGCATGGTACAAAATGTGAGTTCCTACTATGTACCAGGGTGTGTTACGGGCATAAAAACTACGCAAAGATGATTGTCTCATACCTACAAGTAGGTACCAAATGGAGCCTTACCTGTGAAAAAAATACTAGTTTTAGTTTTATATTAAGTTGTATAGTGAGATTTTATTTTATCACAGCTGTAAGTACAAAGTGTATGAGAATGTACAAGAGAGAGCATCTAAATCCTACCTTGCAGAACAATGACACCAGAACTGGGTTTGAAAGATGAGGAAGATGGAATATGGAACAGGATGAGGCAGAAAAAAATTCTAAGAGGAGGCACCAGCATATGAAGAGAGAGAGAGAGAGAGAGAGAGAGAGAGAGAGAGAGAGAAGAATAAAAGAGCAGAGCATGTTCAAGAAGCAAGTGGTATGCTATACAAAAACTATAACATACATTGGCAGTAGTGCGGTGGGGAGAGGGAAGATAGGATTAAAGTTGAGCTGGTATCATATATGAAGGACCTTGTATGCATGCTAAGGAGTCTTGGTTTGATCCCGTAGGCAATGATGAGGGACTGAAGATTTCCAAAAGACAATGTATAATAGTAAGAAAGACAACTATGTCATAATAATATGACAGGTTAGAAGAATAGGGTAGCAGACAGTGTGTTAGCTCAAACTCAACACCTATTCCAAATCCCTTCTCCCTTGCCTTATCATAGAAGACAAATGATTTGCCAATCTCCGTTGTGTCACCTTTGTTGTGGCTATATGGCAAGCTCTAGTCAAGATATAGAGAAAAGACTTCTGAGAGGGGTTCTAATAAAGTACTTACTTTTCTGATAAATGGGGGTCAGAAGCATCTGGAGCATAGTTTGTCCTAAACCTTCTTCCTACTTTGAATGTTTAGGTGTTTCCCAGAGGTACCTTAGCCATTTTGTGAAAATGAGGTTACAAATCAACATGCTAAAGACCAGAGTGGAAAGAAAAAATGTCCAGATCTTTGATGGCACCAATGAATTCCTGTACCAACTCTGTACTGCCTAATAATCAGTGATGGCGAACCTTTTGAGCTCGGCGTGTCAGCATTTTGAAAAACCCTAACTTAACTCTGGTGCCGTGTCACATATAGAAATTTTTTGATATTTGCAACCATAGTAAAACAAAGATGTATATTTTTGATATTTATTTTATATATTTAAATGACATTTAACAAAGAAAAATCAACCAAAAAAAATGCGTTCGCGTGTCACCTCTGACACGGTGTGTCATAGGTTCGCCATCACTGGCCTAATTCTAGACTTTATATACACTCTCATTTATTTAAGCTACTATTAATTGGTTTATTATTGCTTCCAAGCAAAACACATTCTGAAGTGACAGAGAGCAAGACTGACAGCAGGCAGATTAACCAGAAGGCTACTGTAATAATTTAGGAAAGTGATGATGAAGACTGCAATGAGAGCAAGGAGAAAAGGTAGAGTAGAATATATCTGAGAAACAAATAAGGAGAGAGAGGCAGAGACAATTTATTCTAAGGCATTTTGACATTGGGGACATCTTTGGGATGTAAGATAGATACAACTAATAAATAATTCCTTCTTCCTCCATCCCAGTCTCCCTCTCCCTCTCTTACCCTCACCTCTCTCTAAAAGTACCGTATTTGCCGGCGTATAAGACGATTTTTTGGCCCTGAAAAATATGCCTCCAAGTGGGGGGTCGTCTTATACACCAGGTACACTTCAGATAGACTGCCCATAGTGCTTGCCCCGTGCCATAGTGGCCTCCCGATGCCCGCCCACTTCATTCCACATACCGTTCAGGCATCAGCAGCGCTGCTGGGTGTATGCTCGGCTGTTATGCGATTTTGCTGTTATGCGATTTTACCACACTCGCAAAATCGCACACAGCCGACCATACACCCAGTATGATAGCGCAAAATCGCGAATCGCGATACCATACTGGGTGTATGGTTGGCTGTGTGCAATTTTGCGAGTGTGGTAAATTCGGGTTACCGTATATTTCTTTACATATGCATTGAAGATTCGCGATTTTGCGCTATCATGGTGCCTGTTAGAATGTTGAAGAGCTCGCACTTGCGCACTAGTGAGGTCCCAGGGAGATGCTGATGCAAGGGTGGACCAGACTGCTATAGTGACAGGGCAAGGATAGGGAAAAGCAAACAGGGAGCAGGGACCAATCAAATCAGGCTTTGTATCCAGCCAACAGCCAACCACAATACTGCCCCATTGTACAGTACAGCATAGAAAATGTCGACCA